ATGTCAGTTTTACCCTGAAGACTCCCATTGCAAACTTGAACACATTTAATTATTTATACCATTTGAAATATTAGTGCTGAGAAATGACTAAAAGTTTTTGGTTCTGTAATGGTATGATCTAAAGTTTGATTTTCCTTTGTGAATAACACAAGTAATTTGATATGGTAATCAAGGACAGATGAATACTTCAGACAACACAGTGCAGTTTTAATAGTAACGACATCTATTTTTCATTTTTCCAGCCTCCTTGTATATGTTAAAATACAGCTCATTAAATACTGCTGGATCTCACAGTCTTTTTTTCACAGTGAAGTTTAGCATTAGGTTTTCTTTCTTCTGCCAGGCATCTGAACAATAATGGTTGCTTCCACCAGTGACAGTAGGCATTTAGGCAATGCTCATGGTCTGGGTGGAACCGAGAGCAGATTTGCCCCTTGATGTGGGTCCAGCACTCTTTGCCTTATTTATCTCACCCAATCTATTAGCAAGACTGAGCAAAGTTTTGATCTCGAAGAAATTGTTTCTGAGACAAATACTGTTTGTACAGAATAATCTATGTGAAGACCTATGAAAGGTAAGATTTTGATAGCAAGCAAACCGAAGGCAAGAGATTTGAAAGAAAGTGAGCACCTGGAAGGTCAGTTCTTACCCAGAGTCGCATTTTTTCCTCCCAACACACAGGCAAAGCCAGTGTGGCTGAGCTCACCCTGCCTGACTTGAGCACAGGTGTGCTTGAACTCCCATCTTTGCTACTTGAGCCTTATCTGGAGCATCTTTGAGTCAGGCATATGTTCCAGTAGCTTCAGAGACATTTTGCATCAGACACCACTTTCCAAGGAGATTTAACACCCAAACATAAGTCTTCTCTACGTCCAGCACTCAAGTGGCATTAGAGCATTTATTGTCCCATGTGCCTTGGTAAACATTTTCACAGTTCTGATTGTCCATATCTTTTTATTTTCCTCTGTCCAGTCCCTTTGTCCAAAGCTGCCATTTCTCTGTCATTACAACATCAGTGCAATTGCATGCACCTCTATTAATTGCACTGAATTTCTACTCTTCTTTTTCCTGCATCTTCTGAAATTTTCACTTTTTCTACTACCAACCTGGTATTTGTTCAGGAGCTGCCAAGATGTATTTGGCTTTTGCGTTTACTCCAGATGGAGACTTTTATTTTCGCTCGTACCTGGCAGAAGAAACTGTGGTATCACAAAACACAACTTTTCTCTGAGATTAATTATTTTGGTAATAGAGAATAACAAAAGAATGGTTCCTTTTATGTATGGTTTTTAAGTTATTTTTCACCATTCTCGACCATTCAGGAATGGTCGTCTGGATATGTATATTTAGTAGCCTAGGATTAATATTTAATAATAAAGCAAGAAAATCTCTGGAATGAAATGTAACACATCTCCACCGTATCTGTTCCAGCATGTATTAGATATATTTGTAATCAGTTTTGTCTTTGTGAAAACATTGAAATCCAGTCTAAAGACTTTACATAGGCAGAAATGCTGTCTCTCATTTCAGAGTACATGAATGGATCAGGCCAAATAGCTGCTCTGGTTAGTGGTAGAGAGGAAAGCAGCACTCTACAACTCTTGTAACTTATGGGTATAGGTCAGGAAAATAACCCCATATCCAGCTGTGCCATCAGGCCAGCTTTCGAGGGTGGATTATTCAAGGAAGTACACTGCATTACATGCATTGATCCTCAGGGTATCAAACCCCTTCCAGGGCTGAGCCATGCACCTATTGGTGTCTTATTTTTCTTTACCTGCAGAAAGAAACTGTTCCTTTTTCCTCCTTTCCATTGTAATTTGGAATATCCATTTGGAAACTTGGGGCAATATGATAGCCTATAAATGACCTCTCAGATTAGACACTATGTTTCTGGTTTGTTTTCCTGCACCCTGCATGTGTTCATGTATGTCACTCCTTTTCTTCTATTAATTTCACTGGCATCCTTTTAGGCAATGGATTCAAGCTGAAAAATATTCGCCTGACTTATTTTTGCTAAGAGGCTTCACATTTAATGGATTTGCTGTTCTTTAATGTCCCAGGTCACTCCCTGAGATCAGCAAATGCCGAATTCCTTATCGTTGCTAAATGTTATCTGAAGTCATGTCGTTATTTTGCCTTTAGTGAGTCTCTTTGCTCTCTGATTTTGGAACCTACTGCCAAATGAAGTAAAGAAAGCTCTGACTGTGGGGATTTCTAAATCCAAAGTTAAAAGTTATTTGTTCTATTTAGCATTTTTAAAACGATTCTTTTAGGAATTGTATGTGCCTCTAAGCTAATTAACTCTTAATGAGCACAAAATGCCCTGGGATGCAGATTTGGAGGGTACACCAGAATTGCAGGCTTGGATTGGACTGCAATGCTGCAGGAGATGAAATTTATGATTTGATTCTTTTTTTAAATGATGGTGCAGATAGCTTTATTGAGATACTCTTCTTCTTTCTTTCTTTCTAGTCTAAATAAAGCTGATCAGATTTTTCAGTCCACCATATGGGACCCAGTTATATCAGTCCTGCAAATACACTTTAGTTTTCCGTTATGGATGAAGTCACTCTTCAGTAGGGAAAACAATTTTAGAAACAAACTTTCATATTATGAAAGACAGGCAATGTTCCAGGGCTGAGCACTTAGCCAGAGCATCAGGAAATCAGAACACCTGGCTGTGCCCAGCTCCATGCTATTCCCCTGGACCAGTCCCTCACCCTTTTAGTGCCTTCACTCGCTCATCTGTAAAGCAACTATAATTGCATTTATATCACAAGGGTGCCTTGATGCTTGACAAATGAGAATTGACCCAAAATTCATCCTTCAGAAGCACTGTATGAGCAATACCTTGCTCACATGGTGGTTGTGGACAATTAGATTAGAAGAGGTAAAAATGCAATCAAAGTGAAATTCCATTTAGGAACTGTCAAACTGTTCCTGATAATTTTTCTTAGTTTTCGTCTAATTCTAGTGTAGAATTTTGCATGTATCTCGCAGAAAGGGTTTATATGGATCTTTCCTTCTTTTGTAACAAGCCAGCATGTTTTATTCCATGTTATATTAAACTGCCTTTTTGGGCAAATTGTTCCCAGAGCAACACCTTGGAAATCTGCATTTAACAAAACATAGGAAAACTATTGTGTCAAAGAAATCTTATCCTCTATGTATTTGAGCAAATTCCAATCACTTGCAATGATTGTCCATGGAAAACATACTCCTGGTTTTATGAAAAGAAGGTTGCATAATTGTTGGTATGTTTTATTTAATTAGATTTTTATATTTGCTATAATAATGTTTAAAAATTAAGCTCACTTTCTGCAACAAACTGTAGAAACATATGTTGTACAGCCTGCAGAGGCTCTCAGTGGCAGTAGTATTACCAATAATATTTGTGAATTACAATCTGTTTTCCTCTGAAAAATAGCTGTGTGTTCTCCCAGTTTAAAATAATGTTTTCACCAACATGTTTTCATCAACATTAAGAGTTTCAGGAGAAAAAGAATGGATAGGATCTTCTTAAATACATTTCCTTACTTCTGCATGGCTGTGGATCTTTCAGGGTGAGGGAGGCTAAATATCAGACTCAGAAGCTCCTCAGTGTGTGCCATGAACCTACTTAAAGAAAACAGGTGAATTCAAGACGACCTGTGTTACCAGAACCTCCCCCCAAGTAGCTTAGTCCAACATCAGGAGAAAAAATGGAACTAGTGCTTGTTCAAGCCACTTTTCCCAACAAGGGAACAATCGCCTGGGGCTAACCAGATTACAGGATGCCAGGAGGTCTCCTGTCAACACTCCAGAGCAAGCTCCAGCCCCCAGGGACTGCTCGTGGAAGGATTTGTAGGAACAGCTTGGTTTCCCACAAGAAACCTGGTCTCAAAAAAAAAAAAAAAGCAACCAACCTTTGGAGCTTACTTTCTTATGCTCAGACCTGCAAAGCACTTTAAGAACAACTCATGCTCACAAACAGTATTCCTCTGACTTATCTCTAATGTATGCTTGAAAGGCTCTGTGCCAAACAAAGTACAGAGATTAAGTAAAAGAAAAGATACTGAACATTGCAGCAGGGAAACGGTCCAAGTAGTGGTGTTCTCAGGAGCACCAAAGCTGGTCTAGGTTCATATTCATCCACACGCAGTTTGCAGCATTCACTTTTTAGACTTTTTGTCCTTCTTGGCTTCAGTAACCGACTTCCCAAGGCTCTCCCTGGTGATGGGACTCACTCAGTCCTGAGGGTTCAGACCACATGGTCTCTAGAGCCCAGTCCAAGGGAAACTTTGACCTTTCACCAAAGCTGCCATGCTCAGGAGGAGACCTGGCAGAACGGTCCCTCAGCACTACTGCACAACAGTGAACTCATGCAAGCAACATCTTTGGCAGGATGTCCAAGCAGAGGTTCCCCTTCCCATCCTCCCAGAGGCTGTCAAGGTGGAAGCAAGACAGACCATCGTACTCCTCTGACAGCATTAAACATAGCCCTGACTTCTGAGCTGGTCATTTTGCCTCAGCAGCTGTGAGTCATTAAGAACTCAACTTGAATGCAGAAATAGATAGTCTTTACTTATAACCCAGACCTCAGCTCCAACCTCAGGCTTCAGTGGGATAATGGAAATTTTCAGTAAGTGCTTTGATGGGACGCACGACCTCCTCTTCCGCTTACTACAATAAAATGGCTTAAGAACCAACAAATTTCCTGTGAAATGATCCCAGACCAATGTCTAGGAGACTGACAAAAAGCCAACTTTGAAATCTTCTCCCTTTGCCACTAATCCCAGTCAATACAGTACTCTAGCTTTAATGTGGCTAATCTGGCCATTTCTGAGGGTGATGTGGGTAGGCGATGGAGATATACTCCTTTTATCTTTGCTCTGGTAGGTGGTGTCTCATTCTAAAAGGACCCTCTCAGCAGTTGACAGCAGGTGACTAATCTGCAGAAACGCCCAGGTACTTCAATCAAAGAAAGTGAAAAAATTCTTTCTGACTGTGTCTTTCAGGATTTTGCCGACTCCATATACCAAATGGTTTCACAGAAGTTCCAGGAGCTGACAGACAATTTCACTTCCATGCATGCACGCCACAAAACTCTTGCAGGCATTGTGATGACCAAAGGTAAGATATCCTCTCATTTATTTTCTTCTGGTATTTTTCATGACTAAGTAATACATTATTTATCTGATCCACGGTATTGAAGGATGCTTTTACTCCCACACAGAAAAATAAATAGTAATGCAGAGAAAAGAAGCATTAAATATTTACACCTCAAGAAAGTTCACACAAAAATATTGACAACAGAGGTAAAGATTTATTCATAAATATGTCCCTACATTGCTTTGTTTACAGGACAAAATACAGACCTGCCTGATTTTGCATTTCTAATAGATGGGTTAGTTTTAGTTATCAATACAAAGTTGTATTATTTATTAACTGCTTGTTTAGATCTGGAAATAGTGAGTTCTTGTTGTACAAGCCTACCATAAACCTTCATTTATACTGGCAATAAAAGCAAATCTCAGCCCATTTCCTTTCCAGTCAAAAGAAACAAAACCCAGACCATGCACAGTTTTAATTCTGCTCTGCTCTAACTGTGGGAAATACTTATCAGCAGAGACAAAATTTTCACCCCTGTTAAGACTTAACTGATGGACACATACTATACAGAAATCATTAGCCCTTTGATGAAACTCTTGCACAGACGGTCTTTCTTTCTTTGTGAGCCTAGCTCAGCTGGGGCACCTTAGTATTCATGAGGATGTCAGCAGTGGAGATGCTGCCATAAACTCCATTCTCACTCAGACACATGGAGCAGTGGATTGAGTTTAGAAATGAGAGGATAAACTCAGAGGGAAAAGGCATGTATAATTCATCCAGGCTTGTCTTACTCCTTCCTTTCAACAGTTACATTAGCTAGATTCAATAGGGACATTTGTGAATATTACAAGGCAGCAGGATGGAGACAGGATTATCTGCTGTATCGTTTCCAACCACAGAACATAAGCACAGCTAAGAGTTCTGTGCAGAGTAACTTAGTCTCCTCCTTTCTGATGTGAAAAGAGTGAGCAATCCTCTCCTGAAATGAGAAGTAGAGAAGTTGACCTAAAAGTCTTTTAGACCTCTGGTTGAAACTGAACTGTTCCTCAGCTGAATTTGTTGCGGTTTTTCTTAATCTGTTTTGGTTAGATTTTTTTATATTTCTTTAGGATCTGGAATAATAGATGAGTCTTCCATTTTTTAAGTGCTGCACAGACACAATGCTGTACAAACACAAAACGTGGTATATATGTTCTATAGACCACAGGATATATATTCAGAACCAAGAAAAATAAGAGGGAGTGTGCGATTGACTTAGGCATGTGAAAGATGCACAGCAGCTGCCGTGTCATAGTCAGATTTCTTTACTGTGGCGCTCATCAGATTTAAACAAGAAGTTCCATAATTTATTTAGAGGATCTCTTCCCAAGCAGGAGGACCACAAGGAATAATGTTTAAATATGCCTTTTATAAGAAGCTGAGTTACAGGAGCCAAGAATTGTTGCTTTAATGACGTTTCAAGGGGAGACTGTATACAGCTTAGTGTCCCTGGTCAATTTTCTCACCCTCAGGGTGTATTTTCCCTATAAAAATTTCATCTCATTCCTACCTTGCCAAATCATAGTCCCTGCTTCCTTTAGCACAGGCCTAGACCTGCTTTAAAAGGCATGATGGAGCCAACGCAGTCTCATTGCCACATGACCAAAGAAGCAGTCATATGAAGGACAGTTTAAAACCCCACACCATATAGGAAGAGAAGTTACCCAAAGGAATCATAACTTCCAAAATTGTGGCTGCTGAGTGCCTGCAGTGAGAGGGAAGAGAAGGAGCATGTCCAGACCCCTGCTAGCTTTGCTGAGCAGTTGGGGCTGTCTGTGTCTTTTTTCTGGGGAAGGAGTGAAAGTGTCCTCCCACCAGGGTTTTTTATGAGTCCTATGCCCTTAGTAGGATTTTACACATTTGTATTTCATATTTCTTCTTAGTCAGCATTAACACAAAGTATAATTTTACCTATGTTCACAAACCATTTCCCTCAAGGCTTCTGTTTTAATTCTTGAACTCCCTTTTATGTATTCCTTCAATCCGTCAGCCATCCAATTTGCCACTATCTTACTGGTTTTGTGGAGCCTAGAAGAGAAATTCACAGATATGAAGTGATTCACAGAAGATGCAAAGCTAGAAACAGCCTTCTCTTGGTAAATTTTCCAGGAAGATTTTAGTTCCTTCCAGCAAAAGAATGTCTGCCAACCATGGCAAGACGAATCATTTGCCATTTGTGTCATTATTTTCTATACTAAAGTTGTAGATTTGTGGTCTGTTCCCCAACGTCATTCCCAGAGTTAGCAAGGATCTTGACACACTCTGTTCAAAGATGGCACAGACACATTTCCCATATCAAACACTCAAATACCAATTTCCTGTGTTTTTAACATAGAATTTGGCAGAAAGCACTTAGACCTCTGCAAGCAATTTACTAATGACATCAAGAAAAACAAATCTGGTAATGTCTTGCTGCACTTACTACTGTACAGAACTATAACAGACAAAAATTAGGTTTTACCTTCATTTAAATTTAATGTCATCCCAACTAGAAACAGATTTATCTGTGCTTGTACAGTTTTCAGACAAAGCTGGTGAAAAGCACAATGTGATTCTGTGATAACTGCTGTTAAGATAATAAAAAATCTCTGGAGACGAAACAGAATTGTGCTAGATTGGTTTTCTTTTCCTGAACTCTGACATTTTTTCTGCCATTTCAGTTTCCCAGGGAAACCAAAGAGACTTACATTTGGACACTGTAATTGACTTATGCTGTAGCACCCAAGGCAAATTCCAAAGTAGCAGAAAGAAAAACATGTAGAAATTTATGTTATTGACTGACTGTGAATGTTCCGCAGTAATAAATTGATAGTCAGAAAAGCAGTAAGTCCAATATATTTAGATGTGCTTTGCTCTGAATTGTGATGAAAAGTTAAAATCTTGGTGTATTTTTGTGAAAGTAAGTTTTCAAAACATTTGATTAGTAGATATCAAGATAACCTTGAAAAATGTTCCTAGGTAGGAGCGAATTATCACACTGGATACCAGCTGATGTGATGTTATCTGATGTAATATAATAATTGAATATAATAATAATTCAAACATTAATATAACGGATCCTGAACTAAACATTTCAAAACGCGCAAATGTTGAAGTAAAATGTTTAACAGTTCTCCAGTTAAAATGTATTTGAAATCTGCCAGCCCTCTAAAACGTTCTAATTTTGTTGAAACACATTCAAAGAAGATTGTTCTATTAAAAATTGTTTGGTTGACTAGGAAAAATTGTTTAACAAGTAAGACATTGCATTCAAATCCTCCATGTAAAGCAAGCCATATTCCTATAGAATATCTGCAAGTAGCACAATAAGTATACCTGCTATTGTAACATAGTATTAACATTAATAGGGGGACCTAACTTTTATTGCATACTGACTATCCAAAGTAGTTCTCCTGACTTCTCTGAAGATATGATGGGTTCGCATATAGTAAATTAAGAGCATCTGTTCACCCATGGAAAAGGCAGTCCGGAGAACATCATGTCAAGCACAAAACATCACCTCAGAACACACATATCCAGGCATGTGATGGATGGAGTTAACTTTCCTCATAGTGTTTTGCATTTGTGGCTAAAACATGGTTGACAACACCAATGTTTTCACTATTGCTGGACAGTGCTTGCAAAGAGTCAAGACTTCCTCTCTCCCTTCCCCATCTCCAGTAAGCAGGTTGGGGTTGGGCAAGAGGCTCGGAGAGAACATAGCCATGGCAGCTGTCCCCAGCTGATGAAGGGGATATTCCAAACCGTATGACATTCTGCTCAGTAGTTAAAGCTTGAGAAAGAAGGAGAAGGGGGAGACTTTTGGATTTATGGCATTTGTCTTGCCTAGAAACCATGAACTATCTCATTATCCTAATCCACAAGTCCTCCTAGTCCTACAGGAGAGGGGAGTGGGCAGTAGCTGGGTGGGTGTCTGTCGTCCAGGATCAACCAACATTTCATTTCAGGGTGTGCAACAACAATAGCTGGTCACAGTGTTTCTTGCTGTCACAGATTAAGGTAACCTACCAGCTCCTGCCCTTCCTATGTGACTGTCTCTCAGGTGCAACTGGGACATCGTATTTTCACCCACTGGTTGCTGTACATTTGTATTGAGAAGTTGGCAGGCATCATCATCATCATCATCATAATATGCCAGTTGATACAGTTGGAAAAAAACAAGGGCAAGCAAGCTAATATTTTCTAAGCGGGCAACAAATGCGAAACAGCATCACTGTCATGTATCTGCACCCCTGGCCGTGGGGTCACAGGTTGTTGGATGACAGGAGACCAAGGAACTGCTGGCAAGAAGCAGCTCTTGGAGTGCTCAGCAAAAAGCATGATCTCACCATGGGTGACCAGGCAGGGCAGCCGGATTTACCGGTGTGTGGGTCATTGAGGAGAGAGCGTGGACAGTGCTGCCTGTCCCTCAGAGCTGGGAGATAGGAAGCCCAGGGCAGCGCGGGGTGGGAGGTGGAGGTGTGAGCCACACACCATATTCTGTGATCAGAGGGGCAGGTGGCATTTGCACTGTTTATTTACACCACGGACAGAGTTTGCCTTTGCCAGCCCTGAACAGACAGATACAGGCATACATCTGTGCTCTACCTGACATCACTGAACACATAAAGAATTCCTGTCACTCAGTACGGAGATGATCTATTATTGCTGAGGTCCTTTTTGAAAAAAAGTCCTCCCATAATCATTATGGACAAAATGAGGCTGCTATTTAAACACTATTTTCCCATTTGTGTTTGACAAATCTTAGCAGTTTAAATACTGATAGGAACTTTTTGTCACACTTTCTGTTAAAAATGAAGCATTAAGAAAGTTCAGTCCTTTTCACAGGAGCGTGGCATTCATAGAAAAAGGTTATGAGTTGATTTCTCACTTCAATTTTCTCTCTTCTTCTACCTTTTTTTTTTCTAGGCTGACAATCATTTTGATGTTAAAAGCAAACGAGGAGGTCTTCTCAGTTATCTTGCATGAAATAAAGATGAACT